ATGCTTTATGACTCTGACTCAATGACTATTAATGCACTGGAGGAAGTCGAAAGAAAAACAACTTAGGGAATTCATCGTGGCTGTGGTCTGTAGCTCCCTGCAGCTTCAGAGCCACATGTGGTTTTTGATTAGTTGTGTAGCTCAATCCTGATCCATAGTGATCAAACCTCTTCTATGCTAATTAATGCCTTGTTTTGCTTTGCTAATCCTGTATTATTAATACTGTACTTGTGAGAGATGATCATTCAATTAATCTTTTTTTGTAAAACTTTCCATGTTGGAATGTGTTCTGTTGTCTGTTATTGGCATTTATGCAGCAAGCACCAAGATGTTTCATTTTCGACGAAATGTACAAAGAAAGTCCTTTCCTGTGTTAAGGCTGCCAATTCCTGATCTAGGCTTTCCACCACAAATAAATTTCCAGAACTGCGCATGTTTTCATTGGAGCAAAAGCAATAGGAATTTGTGGAGGTGGTGTAAAGGCAGACCCATGAGTGATCTGAATACCATATTTCCCTGTAGAAAAGTAGACATTCTCATGTCATATTTTCTCATTTTTAGTCAAACAATGGCAGGTCGACGTTTTTACATGAAACACATCAGAAGGGTTCAAGTTCCTCCTTTCCTATTGCCTCGCAGTCAGTTTCCAGGTCCCCAGTTGTTCGCACTGACCCCACTCCCTGATATCAAAAGGTATTTTGATATCCGACGTTGATATGTACAGACACAAGGAGCTGAACAGTCCCCTTCAGGGCTATGCAATGCCATTAATTTTATCAAGTAGATATTTATTGGATCAAGTTCCACTTCAGTGGGGAGAGTTGATGGAGGTGCTGGGTGGACTTAGACACAAGATCGACCAGTACCTGAGTAAATATGGTAAGAGGCTAGTTATTTAACTTTCAGTATGATTTAAAAGCAAGAGGACACAAGTGCGAAATGTGCAAAACTGAAGTTAAACGTAAGTGTTCCTGACAGAGCCTTGGATAGAATTCCAAGGAAAAGGTTGTTTGTTTAGCTTTTACATAAATTTGGGTGCAAGTTTATTTAATTAAATTTTGGCCACTCCGATTTCACAGCAGTAGCTGCTGTACCAGAGGCAGCTCCTTCGATTTCATTAGGAAGTCTCTTGGTGCAGTGAGGGGAATTGCTTGAAAGAAATTTAACTCTATGAATGGGTTTTAATTTTAAAAATAGGTATCAAAGTACAGAATGCCACCATTTGCAAACAGGCTGTTAGCTGACACAATTTAACATGCTTCTAGAACCATTCAGGACAAATAATACATGGAGCATGTTTCTAGAGATTTAATGGCACATTAAATGAACTGGGAAAAGGTGCCCCTGTGTACTCTTAATGCTGTGACATGTTTGTGGCTCTCGGCTCAGCAGTTAATGAATGGCAAAGGAGCCTGGGGTTAAAACTGTGCTCAGGATGTTGAGGACTAAAGGAGGGGAGCAGTATAGGATGGGGCTGAAGGACTGACTATGGTTTAAGCAGTAGTACTATCGTTTGCTGCTGAAACCGAATTATGAAGATAGTGTCTGCGGACAGTGGACTGCTCTCAGAATCCTGAAGCAAATGATTCATGAAAGCTTTCTTTTGGGGAATGTTTATTTTGGTCATTGAGATTTGGGCCAGCTCAGCACTAAATTAAAGAGGGAAGAACCTCCCCAATTGGCATCTGGTCTGAACAGTTTGGTGTTGAGCAGGAGTCCCTGTGTTCCGGGAGGCTGTGAAATCGGAGGTCTGATGGCTTCACACCCACAGCTATCTGGGAACCAATCACATAGCTGTTGGTAGGCAGAAGGCCTTTAAACACCAATAGGTCACGATTTCCCAGATCAGTAAGCTACTTGTTGCTTGCAGAATCTGTGTTTGTGCAGGCCCTGTGGCCAGTAACACGCAGTGAGGTTTTAACAATCTGTGTCTGCTTTAGCATCAGTTAGCTCAGCCTTTCTGGTTTGATTTCTTTAGCGGTTCCACAGGAATCCAGTATCTCCTCAGTGTTCCTCCAACTGCCTCCAGAATTTCTTTTCTACTCTTGATTTGAATTTGTTATTGTCACGTGTGAAAAGCTTTGTTTGTGAGCAGTACGGGCAGATCATAGCAAACGAGGACATACTGATCGTAGGGTGCTTAGAGTGAGGCATACAGGTTACATTGTGCTGGTGGTGCGCGAAGCAAGATAAACATTATTTGAAGTTAGAGAGTCCATTCAGCAGTCTCCTCTCCAAGCCATTCTTGGAACTTTGTCGGTGTGTGTGTTCAAGCTTCTGTATCTTCTGCCTAATGGAAGAGATTGTAGGAGGTGGGGAGGGGTCTTTGATGTTAGCAGCCTTTCCGTATTAATGAGAAGTGTAAATGGAGTCCATGGATGGAAGGTTGGCTTCCGTGATGGTGTGGGCTGCGCGCACCACCTTCTGTAGTTTCTTACGGTCCTGGGCAGAGCAGTTGCCATACCAGGCCGCTGTGTACCCAGATAGTATGCTGTCTCTGGTGCATCTGTAAAAGTTGGTGATGGTCCTCAAAGTAAATGGACACTGAGTTATTGCCTGTTGTTTACAACGTATCCATCAGCTGAATGATTGCCTGGTCTTTTAAGAGAGCCTCTTATTTGCTCAGAATAGTGGTAGCTGTGTGGTTGACTTTTTCTTAATCTTGAAAATACCAAGTTGTTGACTTGATCCAGAATTGATACTGTGCCAGAGTTTTAATTTAAAAATAGATCAGAGATCAAACTTCTTCTTGGGATCAAGTTGATGCAAAAAATGCATTCCCTAAAGAGGTTTGTGGCTGAGGGAGAGAGAAGTTTTGAAATGAATTATTATTTTTATATTTATAATGTTGATTGAGGGATCACTGTAATGGGCAAGTGAATACAAAAGTCACGAGGTTCTGTTTGAGTTATACATGGCACTGGTGAGACCGTATCTGGAGGACTGTGTACAGTATTGGTCTCCCTACTTAAGGAAAGATATAAAGGTGTTGCAGGCAGTTCAGAGGTGAGTTATCAACAATGGTGAGTGTTTTACTGGAAACGTTGGCCAGGTTAGGTTTGTATCTGCTGAAGTTTAAAGGTGGAGACAACTTGATTGAAACTTGTAAAATCTTGAGGGGTGTCAACTGAGTGGATATGGAAAGGATGCTTTCTCTTGTGGGAGATTCTAGAACTAGGGTCATAGTTTAGAAGTCAGGCGTTGCCCATCTTAAAGAGGAGACGGGGAAATGTTGTTTTCGCTCTGAAGTCCTGAGTCTTTGTAACTCTCTCTCTGTCTGAAAAGGTGAAGCAGAGTGTTTGAATACTTTTAGATATTTTCTAATCAGCCTGTTCTGAGATGTTGTTACCTGGGCCTACTGGCTCAGAATTAGGAGCACTACCACTGCAGCACAAGAACCCTTCTGAATATTTTTAAGGTGGAGGTGAACAGATCCTCAATAAGCAAGGGGTGGAAGGTTATCACGTTAGACAGGAATGTGGATTGAGGGTTACAAGTAGGTCAGCTGTGATTGTTCTGTTTGTAGTCTGTAGTCTATAGTCTGATTTGCTGGAGCTGAGAGTGATTGATTGGTTTTGTCTTTCCTCTTTGGCCTAGGGTACAGGGGAAATTAAACTTGTGCTTGTGTAAGTGGATAAGATAGTGTGCAGTGAATGTTGGGTGTATGTGGGGGTGATCGAGTTTTAGTCATTCACGTTAATCTGGCTACAACTTGACAAATGGTCTCCTGTGCTGCTGTGTGTTTTTGTTTAGAGATAAAGAAAAGGCTGTGGTTTTAATCTGGATGTGAGCATGGTGCTGCTGTGGAGGGTTTGCTCTCGGTCTGTGTGTTTTGCTGCAGGGACTGACGTTCCCTGTGAGATCCCAAGGACTGTGCTCGTGGCAAGGAGCAATGTTGCTGGGTTGAAGCCAAACCAACCGATTTCCAAGCCTCCAACAATCTCTCTCGACTGGGCTGTGCCATGATAGGCATCATGTTCACTCAGTGAAACTGAGTGTTCCTCACTCCTGTTTCACCCAAACATTGAAATGGGAAAATTATCAACCATTTCCATCATTTGTTGATAGGCAGCTGGAGCTCTGTCTCATTGGGAAATTGGAGTTATGAAGCTGATGTTTAATGACATTCATCGTGGCCTGGGCTTCCTGAATATTTATTTACAAAAGAAAAGTTGGTATTGCATAGAAAGTTCAGAGGAATCAGTTGGTGTTGATCTGTATTGACTCAGTCTTTTTGTTACAAAAAGCTTCATTGACTAGAATCCCGTGAGAGGGTTTTTTTTGATTTGGTCTGGAGAAGGTGATGTGAACATCAAAGAAAAGGTCAGCCATTAGTCAGCTTTCTATTCCTTCCCACAGAAAGGACGTGCTTCAATGATAATCACTCATTTACCACCTTCAGAACTTGTCAAACTGCTTCTCGGACAATGAATTGCTTTTGAAATGCAGTTTCTGTTGTTACGTCAGTGAGTTTCATTTCTCTTTTCGCTCTTGCACTCGCTGATCTACATTTAACAGTTGGTTGAGAAACATCTCCATTTTATGCCATCCTGTATCCTACCTCTCCCATGGCCTCATCCCCAGCTATTTTTTTTGTAATCTCCACCCATCTCAAACTTTCTCCCGAACATCCCCCTTCTGGCCAGTTGCGTGTTCCCAATTTTAGTCGCTCCATCATTGATTGATAGCTTTTGATTACCAAAATTGCCTCATCTGCTCTCCATGTGCCACCTCTTCCATTCCCCCCCATCTTCCCCCTGCCACCCCGCCACCCCACCCCCACTCCTCACCTTCCATGCCCCCTCCTCCCCCGTCCCAACCCTTTCCAGAGCAGTATTTCTGCTGGTTTCCAATTCCTGTGGGACGTTGCAAAAGGAATTGAGAAAGATTGGTTTGGTGAAAACCTCTTTGGTTTGCATTTTTTTAGAACAAAGCTTGAAGTTGTTAAATAACTTTGCATTGTGGTTGTGAGCCTGTTTTGTGTTGTCTCCTTGCAGCATACGCACAGATTCAGCCACATCAATTAATGCACCAACAACAGCAGCAGCTTCAGTTACAGCAGCAACAACAGAAACACCTGCAGCATCAGTTTGTCCTTCAACACCGACACCAGCAGACCCAGCTCCAGCAGCCCCAGCCACAGCAGACCCAGCTCCAGCAGCCCCAGCTGATCCACACCAGCACCCAGCTCCAGCCACTGCCGGCACAGCAGCCCCAGAGTGTGGCTGTACAGCCCAGTGCCCAGACCCAGACCAGCGTGCATCCTCAGGCACAGCACTGTCAGACTGTTGTCCAGCAGAAACATCAGGCCCTGCACCTTCAGGGGGCTCACCCCCCGAGCCCGGTCCTGCAGCCCGTCGCTCAGGCCCAGCAGAGTTTGCAGTCAGGCTCCCAGCCCGCCCAGCCGGATGGTCTGCTCAACAGTCATGGACAGACTCACCAAACTCACCAGCACCAACTGGCACCGCAAACAACTGCAGTAAATCTCCAAATCCAGCCAGCTGCACACGTGGTAAGTTACACTTCTGTTCTGGACTTTGGATTCCTCTCTCTTTCACTTTTTCTTTCTTTTGTGCTCTCCTGCTCTCTCTCTCTCTCCCCGCCCCCATCCTCCACCCTGGGCACCACCTGTTACGTTTATATAGCTCTTTCACAGCTGCTTTGGATTCTGGGATAGCTTTACCTTCATTGCTGGCTTCTGTCATTTCACACTCCCCAGCAAAAGAAGACTATAAAAAATTATAAATTCCTAATGAAACAATCTCTTGCTGGAATTAATGATCACTTTCCTTGTTCATTCCTGTTCATGCTCTTGAGAGGATACGGCTCCTTTTTAGTAAGGACAGATTTGCTTTTAATTTTCTCCCTCCTTTGAAAGCACCGATTCTCTGCCCCAGTGTATAACCCCAGGGGCTAATACCTTGAGGACCTTACACAAATGATGATTCTTTTATGTATTCATCTACCTCTTAGAAGAAGAGTTGAAAGTTTGCAGGTTAAGCTGACAAAGATGTGCAGGTTAGGTGGATTGACCATGCTAAATTACCTATAGTATTTAGGATGTATAGGTTAGTTGCATTAGCTGTGGGAAATGCAGGGTTACAGGGATAGGGTGGATCTGGGTGGGATGCTCTTCAGAGGCTCGGTGTGGACTTGTTGGACCAAATGGCCTGTTTCCGCACTGTAAGGATTCTATTTATTCTCTTCTTTGTGAGTGACGGTTATGGTCAAAAATCTGACTGACTCCCACACAGAGAGGCTTGCCAGTCACTGTCTCCTTTGGATTCTATACTTAACAGTTTGGTGTGTTGGATGTAGAGGAGATGTTTCCACTTATGGTGGGAACTGGGACCTGATCATGTGTTTGCCAGAAATTGTGGGGTCCCTAGCAGAGATATTTGTATCTCTTCAGCCACTGGTGAGACACCAGAAGACTGGAGGGTGGCTAATGTCAGCACCATTATTTAAGAAAGGCTACAAGGAAAAGCCAGGGAACTATAAACCAGTGAGCTTGACATCAGTGATAGTAGGAACTGCAGATGCTGGAGAATCCGAGACAACA